CAGTGACAAAGTACATGTAGTACCTTGGGTTCAACGGAGTCGGAATGAACCACGAGCATCCTAAGCTCAAACATTTTATACACTTAGAGTTTACCCTCAATGTAAAGGAAGTTGCTCCTGTTGTTACAGCTGTGGTCTGTATGTTAATTAAGTTCTGACACCCCTTTGTTTGAGGTGGTTCTCAGTGTCCCACACCTGCTCCCATTCTACAATTGGTCACCATTTGCTCAGGATGTGATAGTCCCAAGTGATCTACAAACAACATAACTGTTGACTTTCTTCTTCTCTATAATAATTAAGCCATTTTGGGAAATGAGCATGATCAAACATATTGTGGAGTGGAATCTGGGTCGGGGCAGACTATAGATTCTTACATGAAGAATGAGGGCAAAACTTGAAACCCGTGGATAAAATGGAAAAAATTGAATTTGTTGCATTACAGATCAAGGTTTATTGGGTACCTTTGGGCTAAATATCTTTTGATCAACCACATTTAATAAAGCAAAACAAACTGATCTTTTTTAAATGAAGATTTTGTAAAAAGTAGAAAATATGGAAGGAATTTCACAGTGCTACTCAGACTAGCATGTAGTCCTTGTTAACCAATTACTTTTTACTGCTTGACATCTTGGCACACTGTCTAGCAGATGTTTTAAGTCATCTGACTGGATCATGTGATAACATGAACTGATTTCAACAAGCTCCCATTTATTGGCAAAACTTCTGTGCTGTGATGTTTGCTGAATTACTGAAACATTTTAACTAGTCCAAGAGGCCTAAAAAGTTTCATAACAGTGTCATATTGCTTCCACACCCCGCCTAATCTTATGGTATTTTTAACCTCCAGCTCTTTTGTGATTGTTCATGAATAGAAGTATTTGTTGAAACATTGCTTAAACACAACCTCAAATCTATTGAGGAAAAACTGTGAACTGTGAAAACTTCAATTTACTGTTTTAAAATTCATATTACAACAAGCTTTACTACTGCTCAGCTGTCTTTATTACATTTGGAGTGTGATCTCTCCAAACAAACATCAGGCAGTGAAAACAAAATCACTTTTATTTGACTGTTACTGCAAAGTTCAATCAGTCAGCATAATCTCTCTAGAGCAGCACAAAATAGGAAGTGCAATTCATCAAACTGAACACTGAAACTTTTTTCTACTTCAGTCTCCTTGGTTACAAGTTACCAACACACAAGCCAGAATATTAGAAAACTACACATTTCACACCTTCCATGACAGTACACATGCTACAGCTCCCTGCAGCATAACTTTCCTGATAAAGTGAAAATTGTATGCTCACCAATCTGACCAGCCTTCACTTTGAAAGGGACATCAAACTCGCTCTAAAGAATAAGAATAAATTGGTAAAATGGGTTTGAAATGCAGATTTCAAGAATTTAATATTAGAAATCCTATTTTGTACACATACATACTAAAACTCTATTTATAACCATTTAGTTGTGGTAACATCAGCAAATCTCATTGTTTTAGCACACTCTTGATTCAGCACATGCTTTAGTGTCTACCACTAACCACAGTGTTACATACACAGACACAGACTTTCTCCTATCAAGATAAATAATTTTAGTGTGTGTTTTGTGATTTATTTATTTAATTTTTTTACTATATTCTACATTTTGTGGCATGGCATCATGTTAATAACAATACAAATCTATATTAAAATAATAGGTAAAATGCAATTAAACTTAATATTTTCCAAAACATAACTTACCAAAGCATTTTCTTTCACTCTCAGATTTTCCAACACCACATTTCCTAAAACAAAATGTAAAGAAAAGATAAAAATGACTGTATTGTTCATTATATTTCATCCATGCTACATAATGTATATTGCAGATTGTACATGTATTATGTAGTTTCTTTCTCAAAGCCATCCATATAAACATCTGAAACTTTGAAAGCATCACAGATAAGAAATGCTACTATGAAATGCATAAACAATTGCATCCTGATATGACTGGCCACTTTTGGCACTGACGATAACTGGATTGGCATCACAGAAAATAAATAAATGTCAACCAGAGCAGCCTATCTGATGTTGGGATAAAGACGTCACCATATCAAACTGCATGCTGACAGAATAACAGGGCACCCATGCTGATCTGGCCAAGGATTGTCTAAACCCCTATGGAGTCTGTCACACCTATGAAAGCGGACTGTTCAGTTTACAAAAACACTTTACTCCTATCCTTCTCTCATTTGAAAAAACAGCTGACCATTTTTGCAATGAAAGTGGTGACAGATCTGTATTATGGCATAAATCCAAGTGTAACAGATTATCAAAAAAGAAAATTGAAGGCAGGGACTTGGTTCTATGCATCGGCTGTTGGTTGAATTTTGAGATGTGGACTTAAAACTGAGGCAGATGAATGTGCGTTTGCAGAGGCGGGGTTTAAGCAGTCCTGCATACATTAGTAGAGAAAAGCCTGCCATTTTCACCGTAAGATCCACTGACAAGTTATGAGATTTTGATTAAAAATTATGAGGTGAAAAAAAATGTAATATGAAACATAAATTGATGATTTGTTCACAATAGGATCTATGACATGCATTTCAAAAACAGATGAGGTAAATTTTTGTTTTCATGTCATATGTTTCTTATGATTCTAATGAACGTGGTTTCAAACTATCCTTGGAATTTATCTGAAAGAATCTAGTTGTTCCGGCCTTGACACATCCTGTAAAGTGACTATAACGACACAACAGATATGACTCCTTTTCAAAGGACTCCTTTCAAAGCCTATACTTATATTAACATTAACTGAGCGAAACACACATATTTGCATATAAACCTGCAAACATTAAAAATACACCACATGACCACAAAGAGAATGAAAGGGTCATGTTCCCATCAGTGTTTGTGTATGACCAATATTTTTGTAATGTAAACAGTTTATACAATGTAAACAGTTTACATACTTTAACTCTAAAGAGTATTAGTGATGATAGGAGTAATAGGGGGATATGGGTCATAGGGGCCATCAAGATAAATCTGTAGTAATATAGTGCCCCAGGTTTTTCCAAACATATATGTGGAATTTAACTTTTCCAAGACATTTTGAATGTATGACAGAGTAAGTTCAGCACTTCCATTTTTTTTAGGAAAATTAATGACATGATTAAACTTATTATCTATGAAGGAAGGTATGGTCCACCTCACATTGAGCTTTACTTGCACAAATTCAACAAAGCAGAACAAACAACAGTGTTTGCGATACTGACTGTCCATTCATATGCTCAGCTAATTATTAGGAACCATTTTCTGTGTCTTATCTATGAGACAACTGTCTCATGTAATATTTATGTAAACTGAAATGTAATGATGATGCCTGAAATCCTTTTACACAATAAAGGCGGAAACCCTAAAAATAATGAAAGTAAACGGTAAAAATAATGTTTTCATCGCCTCCGAACGACTCCTTGGGACAAGCAACCTGACAGACTGCCGCCAGTCTTACAGAACAGAAACCAATCCAGCACGAGAGACATTAATGGAGACTGCAGTAAATTTACATCTAGCTTGCACTGCATATCGATACAGAACGTTTTGCAGCAGACAACAATCCAGAGCAGAAAACAAGCGTTTCAGTGAACTAATGTAGACGGACAGTTTTGACGAATAAACGCTTAACTTACCTCCCCATATGCCAATCTTGAGCTGCGACTTATCCAAGTTTTCCACATAATCTCCTATGAACCTGTTCAAGAGATCACTGACTAAAGTCTCGAACACCATGGTGAGTTGAGAACGACAGCGACCCTGTCGCAGAAAAGGCGCTAAAATGCCACAATGCGCATTTGATAAGGTTACTTCCCTCCCTGGATGACAAGCGTATACAGCGAGATCGACTCGTTCGGTGATCCACTCACACTGTCTGGATCAGGGGTCGCTGCGATTACTGTATTATAAGCAGGACGGCTAGTTAAACAATGAATTCATGATTAAGGTGGGGAATTAATTACAACAGAATGTCAGGAGGCCATTTTAATGCCTCCTCTATTACAGTTTTTTACAATCGTTTTTGCGCAAATAACAGAACCTTCATGTCATTTTTCAAAACTCTAGACACAAAACTCAAAACAGTCATTATTTGTAAGGCTGTCCAATGTTCACAACTTTGCATATTGCATTCATATCTCTAAAGAAGCCTTGCATTTGCAGAAGCATTGGTTCAAAAAACTATTTTATTATGAAATATGATAGGAACATTACTTTAGATCACCCACACACAAGATACCCATAGTTTCACTCTGTAGTTTTAGTACAATCATTAAATATAGTTGTTCAAGACACATGAAACAGCTTTCATTATGGTTCTACACATTCATAGATCATTATAATAGACTAGAGAGAAAAGTACAGACACTGGAAACATTAAACAAAAATTGAAAATTATTGATGAAATAATCAACTCACAACAGGTTTTTTTTTTTTTACTTTAGATGCAAAGTCATCTATGGCCTGGAGAAAAGTGACTTGTTTGTGAGGGTGCCTGTGAACCTTCCACCTCCATGTGGAGAAAAATTATTCAGTCGGGTTACAGTAAGGAAAGGGTATTGTGGGGGTAAATACAAGGTGATAAACTGTGGATGGGCGTGAAACCATGATTGCACTCGGTTGCTAGGAATTCTGGGCCCATTGCACTGATTTTGCTATGGGGTACCCTCAAAATCACATTCAGTCGGGGGTGGTCAGGCCGCCCAGCGAACATTGTTCTGGGCCACTCTCAACTGCTGGGGCTCTCAACCTCTCCTCCATGTCATGACCAGGTTAAAACCTGCCTCATACAAAAATATGAATGGTTTTCATCAGCTTCCAGCTCTATTACCCTCTACAAGGACATTTATTATAGGAAAAACTATTTTTGGGGATTTCTTTTTTCTCCCAACAACAGGCATCTTGAAACTGATCATACCTGAACATACTCTGTCCTCAGTTGCTTCACTTTCATAATCTAAACATTTAATATTGTTCATCATTTCCATAAAAACTATGCTTCAAGAGTAATGCAACAGTTATGTAGCATTTTGAACAGTTGTATCAATTGATAGTTAGATCATTGTAATGAAATGAATAGACACTCAATTCAGATGTAATGCGTGAGTTGCATTTTGAAATAGTAATACTTTGATGTTAAGTTGTGTCATTTTGAACCAGTGATTGGTTCATGTGTATTGTATCCAAGCATTTGGAAAAAGTGTTGATGAAATGAAATGCATTTTGATCATCGGTTGTGAATTATGTGTCTAGAGTTTTGTAAAAAACTGTAGGTCACAGGCCTCCTCCATAGCTTGACTGAGGGGTATAACATAGGGTCGGAGATCATAAACCTTCCACTGCCATGCAAAAGGGAAAAAGGAAAGGAAGGGAGAGTGTTGTGGGAGGTACTGGAATAATGGAACCAGATACCCAGTCTGTACAATACTTAGTCTGTCCAAAAATGTGAGTATGTGGTCGGTGTTGTAAGGACCTATTTTGGCATGCCAGTGGAGGACCCCTTCTACATGATTGCTGCATATATTGTGATGTTACCACCACGTTGACCCGGGACATTCAAAATAGCTCTGTGGCCAAAGATGTTTCTCCTATTCCTCTTCCTCTTCCTGCACCACTGCCTTTCATTTTTGTTGAAGACAATAATTCACCTGTTGCCTTTTTATAGTGCTTACACCTTGATTGTTGAGTTTACAGTTAAGCACCTAAGTGTCTGAACACCTGATGGCCAAGTTTGATCAATAGGTTCATATGTGTAGTATTTTGGAAAGCAGCGCCTTAAAATGGCAAAGAAGTGACATTATGTTAGATTTCTGTGTCTAATGTAGAGAAGTGTGTTTAGTGTCTTGCAAAACAATGTGTAGTGTTTTGCAAAAAGTGTGAGGCTGAGAATGTGCTTATAGTTGTGCAGATTTGGGCTGAGGTTTTGCTCTTTGAGTGTCAGGTTTCACTAACTGTGTGTTATTTTTCATTTTACTGTGTAAGCAATAAACTGTAAACAATGAGGTCACGTTCATGATTAAGGTGGGGAACTAATGACAAAAGAATGTCATGAGGCCAGTTTAATGCCTCATCTGAAGGTCACTCCTTTTTAAAGGGGCCGGTTTAACGCTTCATCAAAAGGCCGCTTCTTTTTGCAGTCTGAAGTCTGCATCGTTATAATAGGACTTTTGCACCCATACATGTCAGGGAATGAGTGCCCCCTGCTGGCTGGAATAAAACTAAATGCAACAGCAGAGAAGCTTTTTTCAAAGGGTCTACCATCCACATAGGGACCAGGCTCTGGACTGCTTAGCTTTAGTGAGAAACCATACACCCCATTTACACTTGTATTTAGCTTTGTCGGCTTGTTGACCAAAATTGTAAGGACCTATTTTGGCATGCCGGTGGAGGACCCCATTCTGCATGATTGCAGCATATATTGTGATGTTACCACCACGTTGACCCGGGACATTCAAAATAGCTCTGTGGCCAAAGATGTTTCTCCTATTCCTCTTCCTCTTCCTGCACCACTGCCTTTCATTTTTGTTGAAGACAATAATTCACCTGTTGCCTTTTTATAGTGCTTACACCTTGATTGTTGAGTTTACAGTTAAGCACCTAAGTGTCTGAACACCTGATGGCCAAGTTTGATCAATAGGTTCATATGTGTAGTATTTTGGAAAGCAGCGCCTTAAAATGGCAAAGAAGTGACATTATGTTAGATTTCTGTGTCTAATGTAGAGAAGTGTGTTTAGTGTCTTGCAAAACAATGTGTAGTGTTTTGCAAAAAGTGTGAGGCTGAGAATGTGCTTATAGTTGTGCAGATTTGGGCTGAGGTTTTGCTCTTTGAGTGTCAGGTTTCACTAACTGTGTGTTATTTTTCATTTTACTGTGTAAGCAATAAACTGTAAACAATGAGGTCACGTTCATGATTAAGGTGGGGAACTAATGACAAAAGAATGTCATGAGGCCAGTTTAATGCCTCATCTGAAGGTCACTCCTTTTTAAAGGGGCCGGTTTAACGCTTCATCAAAAGGCCGCTTCTTTTTGCAGTCTGAAGTCTGCATCGTTATAATAGGACTTTTGCACCCATACATGTCAGGGAATGAGTGCCCCCTGCTGGCTGGAATAAAACTAAATGCAACAGCAGAGAAGCTTTTTTCAAAGGGTCTACCATCCACATAGGGACCAGGCTCTGGACTGCTTAGCTTTAGTGAGAAACCATACACCCCATTTACACTTGTATTTAGCTTTGTCGGCTTGTTGACCAAAACGCATCTTAATACCAAGTGTAAACAGGGCCTCTGTTGTCATTAGTTCTCCACATTAATCATGAATTTGACCTCATTGTTTAAAGGGGTGGTTGATTGCGATTTCACTTTTTTAATGTTAGTTAGTGTGTAATGTTGCTGTTTGATCATAAACAGTATCTGCAAAGTTACGAAGCTGAAAGTTCAATGATTACAAACGAGGCATTTGTTGCATCCAGTGGGGACATAATTACTGATTATAATGACTTATACTGTCTTTTTACGCGTTGTTGCATCGCGCCGCGTAAACATAAAACTCTGTCTGCATTTGTGATCAGAGAAATTACAAACAACAGGTGCTACTCTACACTGCTCAAAACTCGCGTTTGAATCATCAGTGGCAAATCCTTTAAATGAAAACGTACTTACAGTCTGTGAGTCAGAACAGCCGGCATTGTAGTCTACTCTCCCAGGATCAGGAAACAGTCCTCCATAAAATGTGCTGCACACATCTGGATATTTGGGTTGAACTGTTCTGGAACAGTGTTGTAAATACAACTTAAAGGAGCAACCACATGTGACTAGGGATGTAACGATTAACTGCCAGCCAGTTGAAAATCGATTCAAATATGTGACGATTCAAATCGGTTGAGATGCTAAACAAATCGCGATTCATTTAGAGGTAGGAGTTTATATGAATCCATGTCTGAGGGGAACGTACTGTCTTTAGAAAAGTTTAGATGGTATTTTTTCTTTTCATCTTGCCTCTGTATAATGCATATCAGGGCTCCAGACTCATTCTTCCCACTGGTCGCTCTTTTGCAACTTTCTCAGCTGGTCGCACGAGCACATGATTTGGTCGCAATATTTTTTTTTTTTTGA